TTTTCTGGTGATTAATTGGGGGTACAAGTCTCATGGGCTTTCTTGCCAGGGCTGGCTTTGAACTGTGATCTTCAGATCTCAGCATCCTGAGTAGGTAGCTAGGATTTACAGATGTGAGCCACTGGTGCCCGGCAATGCTTCACTTTTCTGAGTCTGTTTCCTCATGTGGAAAATGAGGGTAGACAAGATCCAAGAGCATCAATGAGGGAGCAATGAGATCAAGCACAAAAAATCCTTGGCAAATAGTCTGATGACAATGAACAGAAATAGGATGTATGCCCAGGAAAATGCCTATCTTGTTGTCTCAGGAGTCTGAGAAGATGGTAGCAGTCCTTGTAGGCCTAGAGTGAGCCCAAGAGACAAGAATCCATGATAAGTACTGTTTTAGCTAATGAGGGAAGGTGGGAATCCACGCTGTATCCTGGGGACTAGGAGGGTAGATAGAAGAAGGGAAAGTGGTCAGGCACTGGTGGCTCATTCCTGTAATCCTAGCTATTCAGGAGGCTGAGATTGCAGGATAATCTGTGAGTCTCTGATCTCCAATAAACTACTTGGAAAAAGCTGAAAGTGGTGCTGTGACTCAAGTGGCAGAGCGCTAGCCTTGAGCAAAAGAAGCTCAGGGATGGCACCCAGGCCCTCAGTTCAAGTCCCAGAACAAAAAAGGGAAAAATGCTCAGAATGTTGATCAGTATGTCACTCCTAGCCCACTGTGAGGTCCTCCACAGCAGCAGCTGCAGACCGTAAGTGTAGAGCAAGTGTCTTGTCCTCATTGGGCCTCGGATTTGAGTCCCTGCACTGCCACTTCCTAGCTGTGAATTCAAACCAGTCCCTCTCCCATTGAAGCCCAATTCCCTGGGCCTAACTCCCTAGTCTTCAATACTGCCAAAAAATGGAAACAGGCCAGAAAGGAAACTGTGTTTCTGCTAATTGCCAATAACTTTCACATAATAGGGGAATGGCATTCCATATAATAGTAAATAATTGGGAATCAGTGCCTTAATCAGTGTTTGTCAATCATGAAGAAGAAGGAGAGTCCCAGAAAACAGGCCCAGGCTTGGAGGAGGTTGTGGGAGCAGTCAAGAGCCATATGCATCACTGCCACGGAACTGGAACATAGGAGGGTCTCAGAGAACACTTGCCAAGATGAATTATGGGCCTTTGTAGTGGGAGTACTCAGTGGAAGATCTGGCCTGGGGCAGGAGGGAGGCTTGGTGATTCTAAGAATGAGGATATAGCTATCTCTTCTCCCAGTCAGCTTACCTTTCCCAAGGCTTTCTTTCCTCCCTGTTCCAAGTCAGTCTGGCTGCTCATATTCTCCCTGCCCAGTCTGTTAGCATCCCTTTCAGAGTGTGATGAGGCTCACCTGGGGACAGGGATATGGAAGGGGATGTGACCAGAAATCCTGGAGCTTGGGAGGTGATGCGAGGCACAGCACAGTGGCTTTGAGAACTGTTATCTCCTTCTTTGTAGATGAGCTGCCCTATCTCAAGTGCCCTCTACACACAGTTCTCAAACTCACACCTGTGGCTTATGGTGAGTATACCCCAGTCTCATCTAAGGAAAGGGACATAGAGACCATAAACATTGCTTCTACTGCCTGCCATTTGTTCCAGAGTTCTGGGGAGCAGAGGGTTCCTGGGTGGGTGGTAGAGTATCTTAATGGAGCTAAGACTGGTGGCGGTAGAATAAGAGAGGAAGTAGGATGGTCTCTAAATCTGGGGCCTCACTCCAACTTTCTATCTCTAACCCAGCACTGAGCACAGAACACAGAACACAGAACACTGAGCTATAAAGGGTAGTCCTCAAAGGAAACCAGAGAAAAAAATTGTAGGTTGAGGCTATATTGAGGAAAGTTTATATATCGTTCTAGGCATACCATCTATCCTGCATAGTTTAGACTCTATTGGGTATTAGTTAGTTAGGAAAGGTTCACAAGCAGAGAAAGGACATATTCAAATCTACTCAGGGGTATAAACAGAACAGCATAACCTACTGCACGTGAAGTAGCATGTGTTCCACAGGAACAGAGTTAATGGGGCTTCTGGAGGCATTAAGCCTCCTCTATCAGTCCAAGCTCCTAGAACTCCTTCATGACATCCACACATCCAATATCATCATAACCACACTAACTACTAAGCAGACTGCCTGGGTGTCAGTGCCAAGACCAGTGGCCAAGGGCTCTTCCATGGATTCATCAGTCTTACATCATCTCCTACCCATGTACAAATGAGCAACTGAAACTCAGACAGCTCGAGACTGTTAGGGGTAGAGGTGGGAACATCTTCCTCACACATCCGCCTAGTCTGAATTCCTCTCCCTACAGAACAATGTAGCAGGGGGGGGGGGCGGTGCTATGGGATAGGGAATGATACCTCAGGAAGACCTGTGTTTACCTCAAGGACTTATGAACACATGGCTTGTTCTTTTCTGAGGCTGTAAAGTGGAGTCCATCTACCTGAATGTAGAGGCTGTGAACACACACCGGGAGAAGCCAGAGGTAGGTAGGCGTTCTGTACTGGAATTAGCTGTGGGTACAGCATGGTGAGAACACCCTCCCTCACAGAAGAGCCACCCTAGCCCTAAAGATCCTGGATGGTTCATATCAATGGGGAAACAACCAGCACCCAGAAATGAAGGAGCCATAGCCCAGGTCTGAAGCACTGTAGGCACTGGACTGGGACATTCCCTGCCCCAAAGGCCCTAGATTAAGATTCCCAGAGGCCTGCCTGAGAAGAGGGTCAGAACCTGGGCCTGGCTAAAATATGGGAGCCCAGCAGTGAAAGCAGGAGGCTGGAAAAGGACTGAGGATCTACACTGCTATCTCCTTCATCTTAACCCTGCAATCTCTTTTCAGAATGTGGATATCACCCGGGAACCCAAGGAAGCCCTGGATACCGTCCCTGCCCATTACTGAGCCTTTTCCAAGAGTTCAAACTGCCTCTGTGCTCACTGCCTCCCACCTGTAGGACAGCTGTACCTGCTCTTCTCCTGAGACCATTCTAGCCTTAGCCTCAATGAGAAAACACTAGCTATAATGTACAAGTCCTCAGCAACTCCCAAACAAGTCTCAATTCCTAGGCACAATTAAAGAGCCTACCTAGCTGTAGATCAAACTATCTTAATTTCTATTTTCTGATGAATAAAGACTTCATACTGCCTGTTGATGGGTGATTAAAGACTTCTCCTTTCGTTTCCAAGATCTTGGTCCAAACCCAATGCTGATGTTCTGGATGTGAAATGAGCTAGGACAGGGGGGTTGTGGGGGGGGGGAGGGGAGGCAAAGAGCTTCCTGGAATAGAGTCCTAGAGTAGCACCTCCAAAAATGACACAGAAAAATAAAGTCACTGTGAGTGCCTGGGGGCTTTGGTCCTTGGTGGTCAAGGTACGTCATCCTTATGTAAGAATCCGGTGCTTGCCAGACACCAGTAGTTCATGTCTGTAATCTTAGCTTCTTGGGAGGCTGAGAATGGGAACATCATGATTTGAGATCAGCCCAAGCAAAAAGTTTGCAACACTGCCATCTCAGCCAGTAAAAAGCATGGTGTAGAGGTACATACCTATTATCTATACAGGAAGTATAACCAGGAGCATGGTAATGGAGGGCTAGCCTAGAAATAAACGTGACACCTTATTCAAAAAATAAAATAAAAAAGGGGTTAGGGTGTGGCTCAAGTAACTGCCTGACAAGCAAAAGGCCCAAAGTTCAAACCTGAGTACCACAAAGAAGAAAAAAGACAAACTTACTGTCTTTGTTTCCTTGTTCTTTCATTGTAGTCACTAGCAATGTACAATTCCCTAAATAGCATGATGAATTGTAAAGGAGCCGGGCACTGGTGGCTTTATGCCTATAATCATACTCAGGAGGCTGAGATCTGAAGATTGAGGTTCAAAGCCAGCCTGGGCAGAAACATCTATTAGACTTTTCTCCAATTAACCACCAGAAAACGGAAGTAGTGCTATGCCTCAAGTGGTAGAGTGCTACCCTTGAGCTGAAGAGCTCAGGGACAGGGCCCAGGTCCAGAGTTCAAGCCCCACGATGAACCAAAGAAAAAAATATAAAGCACTCTAGGCAATCACACCAAAGGGTGTGAAACCAAAGGGTGATACTCTTAGTGGATCAGAGGCAATACCTCTGATCATATAAAATAATATTTATCAAAATGAACTCCACAAAAATGGAAAAAAAGAAACCCTGTATAATAGTCCACACTGTTTTTTTGCTTGGGATATCCTGGAGTTGCTGGAAATAGATCTCTGTTGGTATGTTCCATGTATTCGTCAGGGTTATCCTCTGCTTTCGAGCCCCCATCCCTATCTAGCTCTTTCCTTCCTACTTTCTCAAGACACATCAATCAATTCTGAGTCTTCCAATATCAAACTTCAAATTCTCTCTTGGTTTTGATTAATGTAATGGGCTCATCTTTCTTTCCTATCCTAAGAAAATCTTCCCTTATTCCCATGTTCTCTAGTTACCTCTCTTCCTATCTCTCCATCTCCATTCTTACAGAAATGACTCAAAATAAATCTGTACTTAGTACCCAGATGTTTACTACCCTTTGTCTTCTGCTCCATGTTTGCCCAAGCTCATGTCCCCTGGACTGCCATGGTTTCCCAGACTTCTTTTTTTTTTATTTTTCTTTTTGGTTTGAGACCAGGACTTGAATGAGGTATTTGATGCTTTCACTCTACAAACTGCCCCCAGGCTTCTCTTAACACTGAAAACAAATCTCTGCCTTTTAGTCTAAAACTGGAACCCCACATTGTCCAAAGAACTATGCTGCCCTCTAGCTCTTCTATAAAACCAAGGTGTCACTCAAAACTACCTTAAGCATAATAAAAGACAGAAACACTTCCAAATCATTTTGCAAATTTAATGTAACTCTGATACCAAAATATGACAGCACACAGGAAGCAAACAAGAAAGCAGGAACAGCAAACAGATTTTTTCAAAGTGTATCACCACTCTCAGCTGATTGGTAGTAGCTGCTTAAACTGCTGTGCAGACAAAGATTCCAAGGCTGTAGCAGGGCTCCAGGGGAAAAACTGCTGCAACTCACTAGCAGAATACGTAAACGAGGAGAATAAATCTGAAAAACAAAAGCAAACAGGAACACATTTTAGTACCAAATGGATGGTTTGCTCACACTTCCTTGCCTTCGTTTTCCCACTCAACCCTCCTATCTCAGGGATACTTTTAATATCTCCCAGATATTGTACCCATCCCCAGGGGCCCTGGCAAGGAGGATATTGCAATTACCTGAAACCACACTAGCTGTAGGAGAAGCCACAGGCACCAAGGCTAGTGGCTCCACCGCCAAAGCCAGCACCGGTGCTTGGTCCACTGCCAAATCCAGCACTGGTGCTTGGTCCACCACTGAAGCCAGTGCTGCTGCTCAGTCCACCGCCGCCGAAGCCAGTACTGGAGTTCAGTCCACCACCAAAGCCAGCTCCAGAGCTTGTTCCACTGAAGCCAGTTCCAGTGCTTGGTCCACCACCAAAGCCACCAGTGCTTTGTCCACTGCAGAAGCCAGCACCAGAGCTTGGTCCACTACTAAAGCCAATAATAGAACTGGGTCCACTGCTGAAGTTGGTGCCAGTGCTTGGTTCACCAGTAAAGCCAGTGCTGGTGTTGGAACCACTGCCAAAGCCAATGATGGTACTCAGTCCTCTGTCGAAGCTGGCATTAGGCCCACCTCCAAAGCCATCGCCGGTGTTAAGGCCACCACCAAAGCCTGAACCAGTGCCAAGGGTGCTGCCAAAACCACCATTAGTACCCAGACCCAGTCCACCACCAAAGCCATCACTGGTGATCAGTCCACCAAAGCCAGCACTGGTACCCAGTCCACCACTGAATCCAGTACTGGTGCCCAGTCCTCCACCGAAGCCAGTGCTGGTGCTTAGTCCACCACTGAAGTCAGAATTGGTGCTTAGTCCACCACCAAAGCCAGCACTGGTGCTTAGTCCGCCACCAAAGCCAGTGCTGGTGCCTAGTGCACCACCGAAGCCAGTGCTGGTGCCTAGTGTAGCACTGAAGTCAGTACTGGTGCCCAGTCCACTACTAAAGTCAGAGCTGGTACTTAGCCCACCACCAAAGCCGGTGCTGGTGCCTAATGTACCACCAAAGCCAGCACTGGTGCCTAGGCCACCATCGAAGCCAGCGCTGGTGCCTAGGCTACCACTGAAACCCGCACTGGTGCCTAGGCCACCACCAAAGCCAGCGCTAGTACTCAGTCCACCTCCAAATCCAGCATTGCCAAAGCTGAAACCAGCACTGGTGCTGGGCCCATCACTGAAACTGGCACTGGTGGCACCACTAAAACAGGCACTGGTGCTGGGAGAGCCGCCGAAACACAGGTTGGTGTTAGATGCACTGCCAAAACAGAGGCTGGTGCTGGGTGACCCACCAAAACACAGGCTGGTGCTATGAGCTCCACCAAAGCTCACACTGGTGCTGGGAGTGCTGCCAAAGCTAATTCTGTTGTTGGGAGTACCACCAAAGTCAGCCGTGGTACTAAGTGCCCCACTGAAACCAGCACTGGTGCTGAATACACCACCAAAGTCAGGGGTGGTGCTGGGTACACCACCAAAACTAGCACTGGTGCTGACAGCACCACCAAATCCAGAACTGACACTGAGTGCTCCACCAAAGCCAGCACTATTGAGTGCTCCAGCAAAGCTGGCACTGGTGCTCACGGCACCACCAAAGCCAGCACTACTGAGTGCACCACCAAAGCTTGCACTGGTGCTGAGTGCTCCACCAAATCCAGTATTGGTGCTAACAGCACCACCAAAGCCAGTAGCACTACTGAGTGTACCACCAAAGCTAGCACTGGTGCTGCTAATGGCACTGCCAAAGCCAGCACTGTTGTTGAGTGCTCCACCAAAACCAGCACTGCTACTGAGTGCACTACCAAAGGTCACACTGGTGCTAGGAGAGCCACCAAAGCAGACGCTGGTGCTGAGCGTGCCACCAAAGTCAGAAGTGCTACTAGGAGAAGCGCCAAAGGAGACGCTGGTGCTGAGGGTGCCACCAAAACCAGTACTGCTGCTAGGAGTGCCACCAAAGCAGATACTGGTACTGAGTGTGCCACCAAAGCTGGCACCAGAGCTGGGAGAACCACCAAAGCAGACACTGGTGCTAAGTGTGCCTCCAAAGCCAGTGGTGGTGCTCAGTGCACCACTGAAGACAGTGCTTGTGGTGGGTGCACTTCCAAAGCTGGTGCTTGTGCTAAGTGCACCACTAAAGCCAGCTGTGGTGCCAAGTGTGCCTCCAAAGCCACTGCTGGCTCCATCACTGAAAGTGGCACTGGTACAAGGGCTACCACCAAAACTAATACTGGCTCCACCACTGAAACTGGTGCTGGTACTTGGTGCACCACCAAAGCTGATGCTGGCTGCACTGCTATAACTAGTGCTAGTGCTTGGTGGCCCACCAAAGCTAATATTGGCCCCACCACTGAAACTAGTGCTACTGCTTGGTGCTCCACCAAAACTAATGCTGGCTCCACCACTGAAACTAGTAGTAGTGCTGGGTGCACCACCAAAGCTAATGCTGGCTGTGCTGCTGAAGCTGGTACTGGTGCTTGGTGCTCCACCAAAGCTAATGCTGGTTCCACCACTGAAACTAGTGACAGTAGTGGGTGATCCACCAAAGCTAATGCTGGCTGTGTTGCAAAAGCTGGCATTGGTACTGGGTGTGCCACCAAAGCTAATACTGGTTCCACCACTGAAACTAGTGCTAGTGTTAGGTGCACCACCGAAGCTAATACTGGCTGCACTGCTAAAGTTGGTACCAGTGCTGGGTGTGCCACCAAAGCTTATGCTAGCTGCACTGCTGAAGCTGGCACTAGAGCTTGGTGCACCACCAAAGGTAATACCAGCTCCACCACCAAAGCCCCCACTGGGACTGGGGCTGCCACTGAAGCTAATACTAGCAGCATCACTGAAGCTACCCCTGGGGCTAGCTCCTTGGCTGAAGTCAACATTGCTGGTGGCATCTGAATTTTCCTGGGTTCTGGCCTCAATTTCAAATGAAAATCGGCTCCAGGCCTGAGCGTCATCACCTAACTCTTCCCTTGTTAGGCAGTCGATATCCATGTCATCCCAATTCCAGGGCCCAGCCACAGCTTCCTCTCCAATCCCCATCTGGGCTCTTGCCTCAGCCCTGGCCTCAGCCTCAGCCACAGCTACAGCTGCAGCTTGCACTTCCATCTCCACTGCCTCCCGGTACTGAGCAGCCCAGTCTTTGGGGTCCTTCTTCTGTACCTGAAATGGAAATGACAATCAGTTAATAGGAAATAGTCTTTGTAATTATATATGAGGCGTCTCTATTATGGTATCTGTATAAAATTAATAGCAATTTTTTAAAACTCTTACTCATTGAAGCTTCTGTAATGGGTCAGTCCTGAGATCTAATTTCAGCTTTGATAACTTAGGTGTTATATGAACTTGTACAAGTTTTAAGTAATCTCACTAGGCTCAAATGTTGTGTGTGTGTGTGTGTGTGTGTGTGTGTGTGTGTGTAAGTGTGTGTGTGTAAGTGGTGGTCCTCGGGCTTGAACTCTAGGCCTGGGTGCTGTCCCTGAGCTCTTTTGCTCAAGGCTACTTATTGCTCTACCACTTGAGCCACAGCTCCAAATTCCAGCTTTCGGTGTTAACTGGAGATGAGTCTCAGTGACTTTCCTGCACAGAGTGGCTTGAAATTATGATCCTCAGATCTCAGCCTCCTGAATAGCTACAATTTTAGGGGTAAGCCACTAGCACCTGGCTTCAGATATCTTTTACAGTATGTGAAATGACTGCTGTTTGTATTCCCTACCCCAAATCAGCATGTTAAATATCTAACCTCTAAAACGATTGTATTTTCAAAGTGAGGTGAGATGGGGCCTTTTATAGAGGTAATTCCACTTAAGGCAAAAGGATTCATGTCCTTGTAATATAAGATACCAGAGAGCTTGGACTCATTGTTTGCCATGAGAGGGCACACCATAAAAGAAACTTGCCTAAAACCTAGAACTATAACCAGAAACTGACTGCTAGGTAATGATCTGACATTCTCAGCATCCTGTATTATGAGATAACTAATTTCTTCTTTCTAAACCATTCAGTTTCTGGTATTTTGCAATGGCAGCCTAAACTGATTAATATCAACTATGAAAAATGAATGATACATTATAAAGTATGTATCTGACAGCATTCTGTATTAATGAGGTTTTATGCCTCTGTGTGTGTGTGTGTGTGTGTGTGTGTGTGTGTGTGTGTGTGTGTACATACATACACAGCTGGCTACCATGTACCTTTCTAACACAACATAGAGCTTGCCTCAGCCAGGAGGTAACCCAGCTCCTTACCATGCTAAGGCTCAGGCAGCGCATTACCTTGCACGCAAACTTGAGGACTTTCATCTTGCTAGTCTCATGGTAAGAGCGCAGGCCCCAGAAGAATTCATATTCAGGTGGTCTGCTGTTTGGGACCCTTTTGTATTCCAGATACCTTTGAAAAAAGAAACAAAAAGTTGCTTCGAAGAAAATCCTACTTAAACACTAAGCTCCGAATTGCAACCTCCAAATATCCTGAACAGCCTATGGAACCTTAAAGATTCCCAAGACTAACATTCTCATATATAATCTTGGTCTTGGTCTCTAAGACTGAGACATTTTCCAGTGGTCCTGTGCAATAGTTACTTGGATGCAGATAGAGGGTCTGGTGGCAGAAGAAGGCCAGTGTGTCCTGCTTCCGAAAGGAGTAACCCCAGATTCTGGTTGAATATGTTATAAACAGAGGAGCCAGTCTTCAAGTTTCCTGCTCTGAGCATACCCCACTGCATAGGCCTTTTGTTTGGTATATAGCCTAGTCCTGGACAGGTCCAGGAAATTTAGACAAAACTCAAGTCTAGGACACAGGACAACCATCACTCTAAAGACAGTGTGAGAAATGAAAGGTACTGGTTATACACTTTCTGAACCAGCCCAGCATACATCCAGAATATTTCACAGGAAGATAAAGCTTCCAAACACCACTTACTTCTGCTTCACGAACTCGTCTGTGATGAGCTTCCTCACTTCCCCAAAAAGTGAATGTCTCACCCTGGCAATGGTTAAAAAACAAAACAAAAAAAAATAACAACCAATGAACACGGAACGAACTGCTTGGATGAGGGCAGAAGCAATTCCCAACATGGAAGAGACCTCTCTAGCACATGGGGCAGTGTCAACGAAGCGAAGAAAGTAGTAAAAGCACATAGCCACTAGAAGCAAACAGCAGAAGCCAGGTGGCTTTGTCAGGGATTCCTGAAGGTCTACCTTACACCTTATCTTAAAACAGAGGACATGATGAAGAAAAGAAGCAAGAGTTCAGACCAATTTCCCCATCCACCCAGGTCAGAAACCCCACCCGCACCACCACAACACCAAGCTGATACAATCCTGAGATCGTCCTCTCTTGCCAAAGGACAACACGGACAGCAAGCGCTGAGAGCCCAATCATACCCAGGGCGCAGCCCCAACTTGCGCAGCACCTCCCAGATGACAGCTGCAAGGGGAGGCAAGAGGAAACAGGGACAGAAAATGAGCATGTGGAATTCAGACCACAGTCACCCATTCAGCTGCATGCCCAGCCACTCACCCTCACTGGCCTTGTTGCCATTCATAAAAATGACACTCAGAATCACCATGAGGAGGCCCAGCTTAGGTGTGTCCTTAGTTCTAAAGAGAATAATAAGATAAAAACAAAATTTATATCTAGAAGTCATTTGCAAGACACACAAGCGCTGTTCTTATTCCTCAGATATGGGAGAACTCTGCCCAGCCTATGCTTCCAGTTCCCTGGGACCCAAGGTAAAGGACTAAAGACTCTTGAATCAAGGTCTCTGATTCAGTAGAGGGAAAAACATATCCTAACTCACCCCAAGGGTTGTTGTCAAGAAAACAGAAGAACACCTGTTAAAACCAGTCAATGGGGGTCCTTGTTTTTCCAGAGCTCACAGACCTGACAGACTTCTAGTCAGAGCCTGTGCTATTACTATCTCTCAAGCTTCACAGTACATGTACATGTACACACACACACACACACACACACACACACACACACACACACACACACACACAGAAGCTCCTTCTCCCCTTAGAGCTCCATTCTATGTAGGCCAGGCAAGACACTCAATAGGAACAGACAAGTAACAACAGGCATGCTTGCCTGGGAAGCTTCTGGAAAGAAGAGAAACCTTACAGCAGGAATTCTACATTCTAGGCTCCTATATCCTTCAGTCAATCATAATCAGGCACCACTACTATATACAGGGTTCAACTCAGCAGATGAAGCTGGGGCAGGAGCAAGCCTACTTGCCTTCCTTCTTCCTTCTTGCCTTTCCCTTCCCTTTCCTCTCCTTTCCTTTTTTCTTCCCTCCCTCACTCCCCTGTCCTTCCTGATTTTTGTGTGTTTTTTTGGTCCTGGGGCTTGAACTCAGGGCCTGGGTGCTGTCCCTAAGTTTTTTTTGCTCAAAACTATAGCTGTACCACTTGAGCCACAGCTCTACTTCTAGCTTTATGGTGGTTAAATGCAGATAAGAGTCTCATAGACTTTCCTGCCCAGGTAGCTTTAAACCATGATCCTCTGACCTCAAGCATTTTGAGTAGCTAGAATTACAGGCGTAAGCTATCAACATCCAGCTAAGGGGCAAGCCCTGTCTTTCCTGACCCTCTAAGAGGATGTAGGAAGAGAGACAAGGGTTTCATACTATGGATAAAAGAAGTCCACCTTCCACCCCAGCACCTTCCCAGCTTACGTTCCCAGTATGCCTGCAGAGGATTCTTGAGTGCTGATAAGAATATACAAGCTATTTTGCTTATCAATTTCCTTCAGATTGACTCGGAACATCTGCCAAGTAAAAGAATAGCTTTATAAGATCACAAAATCAGCTTCCCAGGTATTCCTCAGGTCCCCCATGTACCTAAGGGTTTTGCATGTATGAGTCAGTGTGACTGTGTGTAAAGCATGAAGCTAAGTATTTGGCACACAGTAAATAATAACAAATTATTACCGTCATCAACCTCATCTTTGTTTATTGGGAATCCAGGGAGAATTAGAGGTGAGCATCTGAAACACGGGAGAGGATGTGTGCAGCAACAGCAGACAGAAGCCATAAGCTAGGGGCTGAGATCTGAGCTCTGTTGTCACCACTGGCTTCTTGTTTGACCTATGGCTGATCTATACCCCTCCATAGGTCAGGTGTGCCCAAGTGCACAGCAATAGGGATGTATTAGTAGTTCTCTTTGGTCACGGTACACCTACTTCATCCATGGCCTCCCCAATATGCCCATCCCCCAGGGCTTCTCCATCACCTTCTCCAGAGCATAGCTTGCTCGTTCAATGATCTCTGGGAAATATTCCTCATATTCTTGGATGACATCCTTCAGCATATCTGCAGGAAAGGAGAGGTAGGAGAAGCTGGTCTGAGTATAGACCATAGAGCTGCAACCTTCTGCCAGCCCTGTGGGGTCAGTACAGACAAACTTGTGATCTAGGTTAATGAGCGTTGTCAGCAATAATGAAGTGGTGACAGGAAAGAAGGTGGTCCTCTAAAGGAGAATGGTTCTCCTTAGACTATGGGGGGAAAAGAGAGCTCAAGGGAGATTGGCAGGATACTACCTGAGCGCTTGATGGGAATCTTTGTCTGGTCCTTAACCAACAGGTATTTCACCAACTTATTTGCCTGAGAAAAGAGAAACAGATAAGAATATATCAATATATTGGCAGGAAACTTCAAAGAATGACAAAAGGGGAAGGGAAGAAGAACAGCAACAAAGCAACATTGGATTCTTACCCTTTCTTGTAAAATGGCCACATCTCTGGGTGGTGGAGGCCTCCGACCCCATGGGATCCGCCTATAATTATTGCCACTTTTCTCTTCTCCATTTGAATGCTTAGACTATCATCAGAAAAAAGGGGGGGGTGTGAAAAAGAGTTGGCTGGATCCTTCCTCTCTCATCCAGAAGTCCGCTGAAGACTTCTCCTGTAGCGGGCTCTGACCCTGTCATTGGCCATGGAGTCCTCAGCTTCTCTTTCCATTTTTTCCTTTTCATTCCCCTGCTAGGGCAGAAGCAACCCAAGAGCAGGGCCTGGGGTTCCTTTTATTTCTTTGGCCACCACTAGACTGTGCTAGCCATACATCTTGGATGAGTCATATCACTTCTCAATGACTTGAATTTCTCATCCATAAAACTGGATATATATTTCCAAGACAGTAGGGAGTTGCTTTCAAGACATAAGGACATGACCTATGTAAATGTAACAACACAAACCCTATTACATGGTAACTACTGTGTAATCTAAGGTGAGTTACATACAAGCTGTAGCTAAGTATATGGACATCTTACTTCCCTACCAATCTGTGAACAATAAGACACATTGTTTCTCTTTTCTTCTCAGCAGCTCTATATCTGAACATAGAGACTAGCTCAGAGTAAAAAGGTTTAGTAAATATTCATAGAAAAATAATCAGCAAGCTAAAGGGATAGGAATAGAGAGCATCATAAAAGGATGATGTCACAGATCTTACCTTTCGGTTCCTCTTGCCTCGTGTCCTAGTCGTGGGCTCCAAACTCAAGTGAGCCAGATAGTCATCTGCCAAGGCCTGGACAGCAGCAGCAACCTGAGTCTCAAGGGCACTTATACTGGTCTGAGAGGTAGCCATCTTGGCCTGAGCCCCTTGATCAGCAATTTGAGGCTGTTCAGTTGCCCGAGACTTAGTGGCAGCCTTTCGGGCCCTAGATCCTCTCCTGATCCGCACAGTAACAGACAGGGCATGATTTGAGACCATCTGAACGGCAGATGGGGCCTCAGAGATCTCCGAGGCAGAACTAGAGCCCTTATTGGCAACCTTCTTGCCCTTAGGTTTTTTGGGCCGGAGAGCTGCTGAGGCCTCCACCTGTTTGCTAACTGCCTCCATGGCATGTGGAGCCTCTAGATGCTCAGCATCAGTATTTGTTGCCCTAGCATTTGTCTTCTTGGCTTTTGACGCTTTCTTGGTACGAATGGAGGCTGCTGTGGCCTGGATATTGGCTGTCTCATTGGCAATTTGGCCTTGGGGAGTAACTGTGTGGGTGGTACTTGGAGCCAGTGAGATCTCAGTGGCACAAGCTGCGGCCTTACTGGCAGCCTTCTTAGCCTTGGAAGGTTTCTTAGGCTTGGTGGAGGCTGTCAAGGCCAGGGAATTGGCTGACTCATTGGCAACTGGAGCCTGGATAGTCTGGGAAGTGACTGGTACATTTAGTGCCTTCAAGGGTGACTTAACCTGTGGAGTGACACCCTCACTGCCAATGAGAGATTGGGAGCCTTGAGATACCTTGGGACTAACTCTCTTTGTCTTATTGATTTTCTTAGGCTGAGCAGTGAGGGATGAAGCCTGAATATTGGCTGCCTCGGCAGTAGCTGAAGCCTGGCTGATCTGGGTTAGGATTGGCAAGTTTAAAGTCTGCAAAGTTATTTGGGGCTTGTTGGTTGCAATCTCATTGGAAGATGGAACTGGAGGGGCAGCAGGTGTGGTCTTATTAATAGCCTTAACAGAGGTCTTCTTGGTCTTGCTTTTCTTAGGCCGGCTGGCAACAGGTGGATCCTTAGTTGCTGCCAACAGGGTATGCATCAACAAAACATTGTCCTCTTCTGTATTTTCAGTGTGTGAATCTGGAGAGAAGGGAAGCCCCAGGCTCCCAGGGGGAGGCAGAGGGCCCTACATACTTAGGATTATGTTCTCCAGGCCATTGGACCACCCTACACCCACCCCTTTCCATGAAGTCCTCCCCTTATTCTGAGGAGTATTTGATTGCAATCGGAAGGGCAAGAGGAAGGGAGCAAAGGATAGAGTTAGGCAGGACTTCCTCTCCTTCCCCCCAACCATGCAAACATAGGTGAGGCAGGGAATTAGGCAACTACACAATGGTAGTGGCCTTAAGAGCGGTAGGTGAACTCAGGATGGGGGTAGATGGCCTGCTGAAAATGTAGAGAAGTCTCACCTGGAATGTGGGCATCCTATAACCGTAATCATTTCTTCTATCCATCTTTCTGGGAAGCCAAGTGAGAGCTGAGTCTAAAGTAAATAGACCTGAGTTAAGGAAGAAGGAGGGAGAGATGATATGATGATAAGATTTGCCTAACCTGAATGCAGAGGAAGGGTCTCACCTAACCTGGAGTCCCAAATCTTCCAGCTCCTGGGTCCTCATACTTAGAAACTCAGGACATCTGGTTTCTGAGCCTCAGCTCCTTCTGCTTCCAAGATGGCAACTCGGTTCTACACCACTACCCGCATCTACAAACGCCCCCTTCGGCACCGCAACATGATGGTGCGCATGCGCACCAAAAAGAACTCCCGCCCCCTCCCCCCTCAGGCCCACTGCTTTCCCAAGAGCTGGCTCGCCGAGACGCTCAGTGCGCATGCGCCATGATGGACTAGACTCTGACCATCTCATTCCCACAAATGCTCCCTAGCTTTCCTAGCAACAAAACATCTCAGTCCCACCCCCCTCCTAGCTGCATCACATCTCCGACCAACCCTTCCCCCAACACCCGCCCCCTCCCTCTGCTCTGCAGTACAGCTTCGCACCGCCCCTTCCCCAACACCGCCACCTCTTCTCTGCGGTACAGCCACGCCCCGCCCCTTTTCGACTTGCCCTCTCCCGCGGCTCTGCAGTACTTCTCCGCACCTCCCCTTCTCTTAATAAGCCCCCTCCCCCCAGTCTGCAGTACGTCTCCGCACCGCCCCTTCCCCAACACAGCTCCCCCTTTCCACGTCTGCAAGTGCCTGGGCCCGCCCTTTCTGCAACATGGATACCCCACCTCCAAATCCAACAAAATTAACCTTCTGTGTAGTCCCTGCCCTCGAACCTTAACAGGTTCTGTCCCTTCTCTTTTCAAACCAGAAATCAACCGGATCGTGGCCTTTTCTTTCTCCCTTCTGAACCAGGTCTTATCGTGGCCGCTTAAAGAGTCTGCTCCTCCTTTCTCGGTGCCAATCCCTCCTTCCTATAGCCCGAACCTGGGCCGGTCCGTTCTCCAGCCTTAACGGGGTCCTGCTGTCTCCGATCTCCCACCCGAATTGGCCCCTCCTCCCTTTCTTGCTATTGCCCGAACGGCTCCTTGATCTTTCCTTTCCAACTAGATCTGCATCCCTCCTTTCTACCGCCAGAACCCAGTCCAGACCTTTCGGTGGCCCGGAGGAAATTCCGCCCCCTCCTTTCTCCCGTGAAAATCGGATACATGCACAGCTAAACAGCTAAACAAGACCAGGTCGTCGTGGTCAGATCCCGAATCCCCAAAAGGTTTTCAAACCTTAAAACCATATGGCGTCAGGCACCTCAAAGCTGCAGCCTGGAAGCCTCCACCCGCCAAAGTCTTCACTGAATCAGAACGCTTCAGCTCACCTCGTCCTCGGGAGTCCGGACAGCGTCTGCTCTCTCACTGCTTCTCCTCAGGTCTGAGCCTGTTCCTCCCCCCACCTCCCTGGCCGGAAGTGGTCCTCCCTCTTTCCGCCTCCAGAGGGGGTCTCAGTTCCTGCTGGCCTGCCCCCTCCCCCTTGCTACCTCCAACTTTCCATTCTCCACATTGTACCTCCTCTTTACTGTCCTTCACTCAGCAGTCACTCCCTCCTCTTCTCCATTTGATTTATTTCCCATCCTACATTCCCGTTCCTATTTCATTCTGGTTTTCCTCCCAAAGGTAACATACTCTTCAGAGTTCCCACTCAAGTTCTTCCAACAAACCCATCTCTCAACATTAATTACAGTCTTTAAAAAAAAATGTGTCATCCTCAGTACATAGATTCTTACAGTATGAATCTCGACATATTTCCCACAGGAGCAGAAGACAGAGGAATAGGTCATATGCATTTCACACACCCACACACACACACACACACACACACACACACACATATCAGATTAATCTGATTATATATCTAAATGTCTTAAGATATTTAGAGGCTCTAAATATTACAAGGTAGGGAGCTTCCACGTCATATGTATTCATAATAAAACAGTGGATGTAAGAAAATCGTATGAAATGTATTTATTTTGTAATGATTATATCGATCCTTTTTCATGTTTTAATATCAGCTTATTGGACATCAAAATGAAACCCTCCGTCAAACTAATTGATGTTAATAGAAAATGTGGAAAGAGATCAATTATCTGGTTGGACTCAGCCGCTCACACCTGTTTCCCAACTACTTAGCCCACGGAGATCTGGGGGATTATGGATTGATTTGGGGGTTTTTGGGTTTTTTTGTGCATTGCAATTTATTAACTATTAATTTTGGCATATGTAAGTATTTTTAAATTTATTTCTGGGGGGGGGAGGTTAAGGTTAGAGACAAGCCCAGGAAAAGGTTACTGGAGACCCTATCAACCACCAACCCAGGAGTAGTGACACACACATGTAATCCTGTGCAAGACAGAAAGGAGGGTTGTAGGCCAGCTCAACCAGGAAAAAAGAAAGACCCTATCTGAAAAATAAAAACAAAAAAAAAGGCTGAGGGCATGGCTAAAATGGCAAAGTAACTGTCTAGAATATATAAGACCTTGAGTTTGAACTCTGGGACTGCCAAATAAAATTCAACTTATCTGAAAAATATTGGAGCCAGGTGAACATTGGTGATGCATACCTGTAATCCTAGCACTTGGAAGGAAGAGATGGAAGGATCTTAAATTCAAGGTCTGATTTGGCTACCTAATGAGGCCCTTTTTCAAAAATCAGTAAATTTATATATGTGTAAAATATATATTATGTATGTGTGTCTTCTTCCTTTCTTAAGGTGCTAAACTAGCACTTAAAGTGTCTCTTAGGATACAGTGCACTACTTCCCAGTGAAGGAAACTTTCTGAGGCATTCATCTATTCACTCGATCATTTATGTCTTATAAAATAGACTTTAAGTCAAAAACTAAAATGAAACAAAGTCATTATATAAAAATTTAAAAGTTGGGCTGGGAAGGTGGCTCAGTGGTAGAGTGCTTCCCTTGCATGCATGATGCCCTGAGTTCGATTCCTCAGAACCACATAAGCAGAAAAAGCTGGTAGTGGCACTGTGGCTCAAGTGGTAGAGAGCTTGTCTTGAGCTGACTCTTCAGGGACAGTGCCCAGGCCCAGAGTTCAGGCCCCACGACTGGCAAAAAACAAAAAACAAAACAAAAAAACCCAAAACACCAAAATGTAAAAGTCAACTCAGGAAAATATAACAACACACACACACACATACACACACACACACAGACCAACATCAAAGCACCTGACTATATGAGGCCAACATTATAGATGTAAGGAGAGATATGAACTGCAATAAAATAATAGTAGAAGACTTCAATGCTTGAATTTAGACAATTTACAAATAAACCAGACACGAAATCAATCAGGATACACATAACTGGAACTTCACTTTAGTTAGTGGACCTAACAGACATATACAGAGCATTCCAGAGCATTCCATCCAGTAAATTGTGGAATACACATTCTTCTTAAATGTATAAAGGACATTCTTGAATATAGATCATAAGTTGGGACACAAAGCAATCTTAAAATATTTTAAATATTAAGAATATTTGTCAAGAATCCATACAATTGTACATCACACAGGGTTTAATTCATTATATGTTAACCAAAATTAACCAAGATATACAGGGACCCCTTGACAAAAGAAGGAGAATAGCAATGGATCTAACTTTATTACAAATGCATCCTATAATCTTTCATTTTTATGATGAAGGATGAAAGAAGAATGTATGAAAAAGAAGAAAGTATGAAAAAGGACAAAATCACTTAAGTATCATTACAAAGAATGAAAGGGGGAGAGTTTTTAAGTATTTTTGGAAAACTGTGATTTGATTGGAAGAAATTTAGTTGACTAAAGCATAATATATAGAGGGATGAATCTCCATGACTGAACTTTTCAAACATTTAACTGCAGTTTAGCAAAATGAACACTAGAAGCTGATATGAGATTGTAAGGGGAGGGGGAGAAATGGCTGTGCAGTGGATGAATGCAAAAGGGAACAGAAGACAAATACAGCAAGAATATTCAATATACATATGTAATAAAGGAAGTGGGAAATGGGAAAGAGTTTAGAAGGAGGGAATAGAAAGGATGGGGAGAATGAGGGAAGAAATGACTCTGAACAGGAAGCACTAGACCCATATAGACACATTAAATTGCAGCCGCCGTGAACAATCTTTTGAAGTTCAGAAAAATTTAAACTAAATAAAAAAAAACTAAAGATAAAAGGGGCTACATAAATGGTGCTGTCGTCCCAGGTAGTAAGTTTCTTTTCTCACCATAGCATAGGTTAACAATTCTAAAAACCCTCTGCATGTACATTAGAATTGAGAAAACAAGCAAATGAGTTGTTGATAATGATATCCATACTTTGTACTGACAGGGAAGATAAACAAGAAAAGTGGCACAGAGCTAAACATGTACTCAAGGATGGGAGTCAAAAACTTCAGTATGAAATCATGTTTAGCTTAATACACACAAAAATGTATGAGTACAAAAACACTTAAAGATACGTGTGTTTATTACACTAAGTGAAATGTTCCCCAAGATAGGGACACAAGAGGTTTTTTTCTTTGTTGCTGTTGTTTTAATGTACTATGTGATTTTTTTGTTTCTTTTTTATGTTTTTCCCCCATAGTATAATCCCTGTTTTCACTGTATTTGATTCTGGTGTCCTGCATCTTGTATATACATTTTCCTAATTTGGAGAGGGGAAAGGAAATAACAAAATGCTGAAATAAGGACACAGGTTGACCCATTGTAACAATGAGATGTATAAGACACTATTTTGAAAAGGAACCTTACAACTTGGGGGGGAGGAAGAATTGGGGAGGTGGGGAAGGAATGGATAGTAGGGGAAAAACAAAGGAGGGGATAAAAATGCTTGATGGAAAATGTACTTATTACCTTACTCATGTAACTGTAACCCCTCTGTACAGTATCTTTACAATAAAAAATAAAAAGATATGTGTGTTTATATAACTAAGCCCAGAAGAAATATATTCCTCAGTTAAATTTATGGAAAAGGCCAGGGGATAATGATA